TAACTGCTTATGTTGTAAGCTAGATATCTAGATCAACACGTGTATTTAGGCTAAGGCAGGCATATTTTTATTATGCTGGAAACCTATAGATCTAGAATCTAGATCTAGAGTCTAGATGACTTTTTTTCTTATGTAACTACTGACACTGTCGACTAGATAATTAGGTCTCTAGAATCTAGATCTAGATCTAGATAATCTAGATGTCGATTCTAGATCTAGATCTAGATCTAGTTTTCAGTCTACATTATCAAGACATGTTTTGGTTTTATGCTAGATCGACATTATTTTATTACTTGGCCTAGATCTAGAATTCAATTTTAAAATCTGTTGTCCTGTTTTCATCAACATGTGTAACCTTTTCCGTAGACCAGAAGAGTATAGAATTGTAGAGGCATTGTTTACAAATGCAACCTTGGCCAGTTCTCTGATTGCGCTAGGCCTAAGCCGCAGAAAGCTAGGCTCTAGACGCGACGCGCTTCGTTTCGAAAGGCCTAACGCGCTTCGCTGTCGATACCGCGCCTGGTTATTTTTAGCTCGCGTCTCAGCGGTCACGTTCGCAAATGCACTGTTGTCACGGACCGCGAGGCTTCTTTTCCTGTCTCTATATTTTAGTGTCTCTGGTTGAATGCACCCGTGTCAATTTTTCAACCGGCCGACCACGCATTCCGACCGCGAGGGGCTTCGCTTTCGTCGGCGATTCTCCAGCTCCTACTAGTCGGACATAAAAACAACTTAAACCATTGTAACGAGGAAAAGCTGAACTTTCACAAGGTGTACGGCACTTGGTGTTTTATAGCAAAAGAGCAAAGAAACAGCGATCGGCATTACCCCGATTTCACCGATACCACGCGGTCGGAAGGCCGCGAGTGCCCGCAAGGCCGTGTTTACGCTACCTACATGTATTCATGTAGGTTTAGTGAACCCCACATCCAGCAATACTGAATTCAACAAACCCTGGACTTGCTGAAAGGAGAACGATATTACATTAATCACATGGTTGCCAGAAATACTTTTTATTCATTGTGCCCAAAGATCTTTCTGAGAAGTAGGGCCTAACAGCCTACATACATGTGAGCAACATTTCATCAATTTGATGATCAAATCAAATGGGTAATTATGATGATACGATACATTTATCATGTTTTATTTACTTAAGCTTAGCCAAAAAATGCAGTGAGAGTACAGCAGTCAAGGGACAATATGGTGGTTTGGGGGGAGGTGACATATATTCTGAATGAACATCGGTTGGGGTTTTGTACCTCATGTAAATTCCTGGATTGACTTTAATTAATCATAAGCTCATTCTTAGTGAGGAGGCCATGGCCACTGAAAAGAAAGACATTTGGTATAGCGGTGGATCATTTGTTGTCTCATGTGTAGGCTACCGTACCCATGTCACAATCGGAGCAAGGCCCAAAGTTCTTTTTCATTGTCAAGATGGAAACTTGACATTGCAAGAACATTAATAAAAGCAAAAGAAAGAGTAAAAAAGAAACCATATGTCTTTTTAGTCATAGAAACCAATGAATTATTATAATGTTCAGAGTGTCTTAATTAAAAAAGAGGACCCGATTGAATATAGGGCAATAACTTGGTCATCTCTGCACTCATTTCAACAACAAAACTTCAACTTCAAACAAATAAAATTCAACTTGGGGGATGTCACATACGTAAAAAAATATGAAGAAATTCAATCGTGTTGGAGAAATTTTTAGTTTAAAAAATTTCAATTAGCTTTAGGGGTGTGATCAGCCTATACTATACTGGGTTTTTTAGGACAAGTACGGTAAAGACCACATGGATGGATATCTCACCGTCCAGAAAAGTTTGGGGAGGAGAAGGCGTTTGTAGAGGGCTGGTTCCAGGGGAGAGGATAAGGCTGCACCTTACATGTCAAGAGTGTCCCTCGTATGGTTTCAAGAAAGAAACGCATTTCGAAAGTTTGTAAATGAATGGTCACAACATTTCCCCCCTCTCCGATTTAAGCCCCTTTAATTATTACCTTTGGGTTTTTTTATTTGACAGACAAGAGTCTACAGACACAACCTGCAAACAGTTGAACAGAGGAAACTCAAACTCAATGACAATGTTGAACAGGACGTCCAAAGAATTGTCCAATAAACATGCCACTGGGTTATTTAAAATTCCCAAGGGCATGGAACTTTTATGAAGAGAATGGTCATCACCAGGAGATTTAAATAGCTATCATCCCTTTGAGTTTATTTAGCATATCAATTTTGTATAAGTCTGCTCTTCAAAGCACAAACAGTGATTATTTGAAATGAAACAATATGGTCGATTTTTAAAGAAATTGAAAAGTTTTGCATTTCACTCAAATTTGGTTGAAATCTTAGTTCAATCACCGAGTTATTACCCTTTCAATGGTCCTTTATTTTTAGACACCCAGTAGTATGAATATCCCCAGGCCAGCCCCATACTAAATTAAAACAGCTGTGGCACTATCAATATAAAATAATATGCCACTGCACCTCACCAAAACTCTTGATCTGACAAAACTGAAGGCCGGAATCTATGAATTTATCAGATGTGAGGTTCACTGTATGTGCTTGGGTGGTTCCCGGAGTGATTGGGGCAGTGACCCGTGACCCTTAGAGAAATAACATGGTACACCGTGATGTATAAAAGATGAACAGCGAAATAAAGAGTTTATAAATGAGTAAATGTACAAGTACAAGTCATATAATAATAATTGCAAATAACATGGAAATGATTTGGTCTGTGCAGGCTATACAAAATTTGAAAAAATAAATATGAAACTTTAAAAAAAAAGTCTAGTAAAAATGGCAAGAATGCTTGCTTTTAAAAAGTAACAAAGCAATACTGTGATTTTTAGATTGCATTGGAAAAAACAAGGGTTACTCACTGTGGTAAACATGAGTTCATGAATTTGTGGAATGTTGGTATGACCCATGATCACATCAAGCAGATTTCAATAGATCATACATGACTTCATGAAGTTTTGTCTTTGTGGTCACAATGATTTCCTGACCATCCTTCAAAACACTTACATACATAGTCATCAAAATCATACTGGACATCCTCATCTGACCCCTCATCTTGTCCATAGGAACTATCTGAAGAAATTTCTTCACCCTGCCAGAAATTTATCCTTGAACTTGAACTTGAAATTGACATTGGTGCAGAGAGATGTGAAGTTTGAAAGTGTGCATAGTTTTTGTTTCTCAAACCTGATATGGAAAATTTGTCAACAATTGGAATAGCTTCATTTTGCAACAGGTCCTGGTTCTTGAACAAATCCTTGTTTTGTTCGTACATTTGGACATGGTAGTCCTGTAGCTCTTTTAGTCTGACAGGGTACCACCATTCCCTAAAAGCTAACTCGCCGCGTCTTCTAAACTTAAGTGAATTATCAACAAAGCGCTGCAGAAGGTTATTCAGAATTTCCATGTCTGCCTTTTTCTTACTATTATTACTATTTTTAAGTTTAAGTGCTGTTCTCTTTCCATATGATTGACTGGAACTGTCGAGGTCTTCCTCATTCATGAGACACGTGCTTCTGCCGCTAGCTCTCAGATGGTGTTGGAAGAATTTCTCATAGTCCTTCCTGATACAACGCCCATGGCCTTGACAGAGTTGCTGTGTGCAGTTTCCAAAAAAGTTTGTGACATTGAGAACAAAAGGGCCCAACGTCTTGTTGACGTAATCTTGTAACAGTAAACACTCGTTTTTAGCCCTCATAGAGCTGGAGCTTCCCCACAAGACCACACCTGATGAGCCCATGTTGGCTGGCTCTTCAATAGAATATGACAGATCAGCCTGCAAATTAGAAACAGAAAAAAAAAATGAAATGCTGGTTTTTGAGTTTGAGTGTAAAGATAAGTACATCAACAATTACTGGTCACTTAGTGCACGGAAGAAGCAAGACAGAGATGCAGGGCCAGAAAAGAATTACTTACCAGTGGCATGCTCCAACTACCCACCCTAGAAATGCTTTTAGGTCAACAATAAATTAATAGACTTGATTAGTAGGCCTAATGCAGTGTATAAAATCCATTTAATTCTTTCTTGAAAGAAATCGACTACAAAAATATTTTTTATAATAAATTATATATGTGCTTTTATATATATATATATATATGAAAGTTGAATGAAATCATTACATTTGGTAATTATATCATAAGAAGAGCTACTTCCGCAACAAAAACGACTACTGTCTCTCTACAGATTAAAATTTTTTTTTATAACACATCTTGTAAATCTGGGTCAAATGGAGTTACATGTACTGTGTTAATTTTTCTTACAAAAGTGATAGAATAGTCCATTATAAAAAAATGTAAGAAGTAATGTAAGCAGATGTATAGCTTCTGGTAAACTTCCTCACTGATGGTGATAACATTCAGCAGACGCATTGATCAGGTCTGGCATCGTCGAGTGCATGATAAAAGAAATAATGTTCTCACAAACTTTATCATGGCCACTGAGTGGTCACAGAGTGGGATTATTGTGAATTCTGTTTGAGGCGCTTTGAAGAAGAATATATAGGTTATGACGTCCATGAAAACTATTTTTGCCTTCATTTGGAAAAAGCTATTACTATGCTGATATCTTTAAAAAAAAAAAATTCTGGTCAGGCACACCTTGAAAACAAGCAATGTAATGGCCTCTCAACAGCCCTTCAAACAACAGAATGAGGACCCTTTGTTTTTGCCAGTTCTTCAGCATGGAATGGCAAAAGGAAAGAAAAAAAAGATTGACCAGATGCCTGCCTGTATCAGTGGAAAATGTTTCATCGAAAGGTAAGAAAAATGGAAAAAGAAAGAAAATGCCACAGAAAAAGGGGAAGAAAATAAATGCAGTGAAAATGGCCAGGAAAAAGAAAGGCAGCAGAGAGACCAATCTCAGAAGAAAAGAGAAATGAAATGGAAAGAAAAAGAGGTGCAAAAGATGCAAACAAGCTCAAACGAAAGGCTGAATGTGATGAATGAAAACAACAAAGAGCGGGCACAAAGCGGACAGCATGAGGCAAAGCTAAAATTAGGCTCTATAATGGTAACACGAGTGTTGAGGGGTGTGTGGTTATGACAATGAAGATCATTTTATAAATGAGGAAGTCTTACTTGGAGCTTATGAAAGAAACAAAAGAAAATACTTTGCTTGCTCTTGTAGAAACAGAACAACATTATTGCGAACTTGGACAAAAGGTAAAAAGAGGCTTTTCAACAAAAGGTTAAAAAAAGGAACCAATAGCTCCAGGAACTGATGGCGTGCCTGAGAGCATGGAGCGGAGAAACATAACAATAAATGGCTGAGGAAGAGTCACACATGGTACAAGTTACTCTATCTGACTTGTCAAAAATGAGGAGTCTCTTGTATTCAGAGACAGACAAATGTTGTTGTTTTGTTGTTGTTTTCAAATCCCTTTAGCTGCGAGCATTTCGCTCTTGGCAGCGCAATGCCTCCCTCAAGTAACTACATGTCCTAGTCATCTGGTCAACGCCAGAGTAGAGCAGGCTTTGTAAGTCTGTAGGCGTGAGTAAGAGCCTGCGTCGAAGAACTGCCAGGTTTGGGCAGTGAAGGAGAAGACATTCAATGATCTCCTCGTGGTAGTCACAGTGTCTGCAATGGGGTTCCCACATGGGGTTAATTCTGTTTCAGTGCTTGTTGGTGTGTAAGTGTAAGTGTCATGTGTGGGCTCTGAAAATCAATGTCTGATCGGCTCTACATAAAAGATTCGAAGGGTCTTTGGGGTTGGGTTTGTCCATGTACCCAAAGAGAGATCTTCCTGTTTCTGCATTGACCCATCTGTTTAGCCACTCGTCTCTGCTTTTGGCTTGGATGATCCCTCTGCAGGTCTGTAAAGAGGTGGCTGTGTCTGTCTGGGGCAAGCTTGCTCCAGTCTTTGATAGCTGGTCTGCAGTCTCATTCCCAGGTACTCCAGAATGGCCAGGCACCCACTGTAGTGTAACCCGGACGCCATAGGAAGTGCCCATTTGTTTTACAAGGCTGAGAATGTTCCCGTCACCTCTGTAGTCTCCTCCTCCCTCAACGGCTTGGAGTACTGACATTGGGTCAGAGAAGACAACAACATCCCCTGGTGTTACTGTGCCTTCAAAAAAGTCTTGGGTGATCTGCTCCAGGGTCTTTACTATGGCGATTCTCTCTGCCTCATAGTTGGAGCTGTATGTTCCACATGGGCCAAATAGTTGGGTCTGCTTCTTCTCTCCAGGGTTGTTTCGATATTTGATGGTAGATCTGTATCCAGCATTCCGTGTAGCGTTTATTGCTGACCCATCTGTATATGCATGAATTGGAGTTTCAGCATACGAGTCCACTGTCTCCAGGGCACTAGTTCTGAGGATTTCTTCTGGTGTGGTTTTGTCACAAGAAGGGTCTAGAAGTCTCGTCCTTATTGTGATGCCAGGTGTCTGCCAATATGGAGGTTCGCTGCTGATGTTGGTGATAGGTTCTCTGTTCTCGGGTGGGTCAAACTCCTCGAGTAGTTTTGTTGCTTCTCGCATGAAGGAGTCTTCAGGATGTGTGTCCTTGGTTCCCACTCATCTGCCATTTTCCTGTTTTCGTTCGTGTCTTCTAGCCGCACAAATCTTTCGTAGGTTTCGAGGGTAGCACTCTTTCTTCTCAGGTCCAGTGGTTCTATGTTGGTGTGGATTTCGCAGGCGCTTGTAGGCGTGGTCTTCATCGCGCCAGAAACAAATCTGAGTGCTTGGTTCTGTACTCTGTCAAGCTGTGCCAGGGAGCTCTGGCTGGCTATGGATTGTAGTGGTAGGGAGTAGTCAATCACAAATCTGACATGCCCTATATAAAGTGGTTGGAGGGTTGCTTTGTCAGCTCTCCAGTTGAATGATGAAAGGTGTTTCAGAAGGTTTAGTCTGGAGGTGGCTTTTGTGGTCAGCTCCCCTAAGTGCTCTTTGAGAGACAGCTTTCGGTCCAGTTGTAGGCTACACCACTCATGTCTGATGGTGGTTCCATTGATCTTAAGGTTTACCTGACTTGCTGTAACCCTGTTTTTGAGGCTGAAGAGTCCAAAAACAGTCTTGTTTGTTTTGATCTCCATCTTCCATAGCTGGCAGTAGGACGAGATAGTAGTCAGGTCCGCGTTGATGGCTTGGTTCAGTGCTCTCATGTCACTTCCTTCAGGGCTAATAATTAACCCATTAACTCCATGACAGACACATATTATATATATATATATATATATATATATATATATATATATATATATATATATATATATATATATACACACATTTGAATCTTGATCTAATTAACAGTAGAATAAAGCTTGTTCTCTTTTGTTTGACTAGAGTTCAAACAAAATAAAACCAAATTGCTCTGTTTAATCTTTTCAGATCTTTGCAATATGGGTCTACTCAAAGTTAGATGACCAACAAAATCTGAAAGCTCATTCATGAAGGTCACTTCAAACTAAGATTCTGACACATTTTCTTTGAAGTTAGCCTAAAGTGGGTAAAAAAAAGAAGTAGCTTCCAAATTTTGTACCTGTGTAAAAAATTTGAAAGGACCATTTTGGTTTAGAGCATAAGGGAAAACAGTGGCGTCCTGTGGGGAAAACTTGGCTTTCACTCTCAATGTTTCGTGAATTTTCTGCTTGATTCTGGTGTGGCGCGTCTCGGGTGGGACACTAAGGTCAAAGTAGATAGATGGGTAAAGGCCTGTACTGGTATTGAAAATCCACCTCATTCTGAAAATAGAAGAAGGCAAATAAATTTTATACATAAATTTATAATCTCTAAGCACCTCATTCACCTCATTCTGAAAATAGAAGAAGGCAAATAAATTTTATACATAAATTTATAATCTCTTAGCAGTGATCCCCAAAAACCCTGTACAATTTAATTTAATTTGCTGTTTTTCAACCTTCTTCAGCAAAAATATAATTTTTTAGACTCTTTCTTTTTCTCCATGCCATATGAAATCTGTACCGTACTGAGACTGTTGTAAGACATACTGTTGGCAAGTTCTGTAAACTGAACTGACCATACAAGTCCTGAGAGGTTAGCTTTTATGAGTCACAGTGTCAGTCTTGACTTACTCTTCACATTTTTCTCCTTCTTGTACCCCTGCTAGAGCTTGGGGAGTAACTGACTGTAAGATCTTCATCACAGTCATAAAGCAATTAATTGATTTTTTGGTACAAATGACTGTTTTATATAGACTTTGTTTTTTTTGGTTTTTGTAAAGTGTTTTACGGCGCTCGCAACTGCATAGGTCATATGAGCGCGAGGGACACACCTAATATTTTCAGTTGGTAGGAAATTTGGAATTTTGCCCGGGTGGCGGCCGAAGCCTACTCTTATCGATTTTAGACCACCAAGGGATCTTTAACGTGCGCAACTTGCACACGGGCCCTCCGAGATTTTTCGCCCTTGTCCGAGAAGGCTAGGTGTAGATCTTTCCTACCAGAAGATCAGGGGTGTGGCAGAAAGACAGCAGTAAGGAGGAGCCAAGAAGTAGCAGTAGAAAGGCTGCAGAAAGAGTCAGGAGCCCAGAGGAGGGGGCAAAGGAGGTGAGGGGGTGGGGGCAGAAAGTGGAAATGAAAGCAGACAACAGAACATTGCTAGAAAGCAGGAAAGGAGGTGAAAGGAGACAATTTTAGAGAAGAAAATTTTTCGGTCGCTACCCGGATTCGAATCCGGGACATTTGAATGAGAGGCCAACACCTTAACCTCTAGGCCACGAGAGCCCCCTTATATAGACTGTAGAGTCACCTCTTGCTGACAGGCAGCCACTTACTATTTTTGATGGCACTCATCTATACTGACTAGAGGGGCTTCCCCTGTGGGCAGAAATTAATTTTGAATCTTACCTAGATCTAGAAGATGACCTGAAAGGCCGATTCTTTTCGATGTTGGAACCACCAAGAACTTTTTAATGCACGGAACTTTGACACTGACATTTTTGGTCCTCATCTGAGAAAACCACGAGCTCGATCACACCTAGCCTAGGATCTAAGGATCTAAGGTTGCGAAAACATGAGAAAGAAAAACTGACATGGGGGGAGGGTGGGGGGTGGGGGGGGGGGGGGGGGTGAACTCTGGACTTTCAGGGAATAGGTGCATACCATACCCCTTTGTCAATTTGAACCACTTGGCCCGCCATTCTTTAGCATAGACCTCAACTTTAACTAGTCTCCTAAAAAATTTGGAGGAGTGGGGGCACACATAAAAAACAACTAGTTACTCATGCAGATGAAGCCTAAACATGCCCTCAGATTCATGGAATAGAGATGATAACATTTTTAATTTTGAAGAGTTCAAGATTTCATTGAATCTGACGTTGCTGGAAGTACATTCACTTACTTCACTTGTTAATTCAACTTCCCTTTTAATGAGATCTATCACCAAAATATATATTTAATTTCTGAGCTTCAGAACAGCTGTTTAACAGATCTATTATTTAAACAGCTGCTATGTAAGCAGTTTAGCTGATTTCTAGTCTACATTATGATTCTCAAAGGAAAAAAATTTATAAAAGCCAATTGACCGTTTTCAGAACTTTAACTGGTGGGAGGAACAAATATACTGTTAACAAAACAGCAGCAATCTGTTTAGAATATCAAGACAAAACTTTGAAGAGCAAAAGTTTCTTTGGTGGAAAACTTTCCCTATAATCATGAAGAGGAGAGTCAGATTTAGTCAGAATGCAGACTGTGAGAATAATTTGCATGTTGCTAAGCAATGAATGAAATCTGTTCACTGCATAAAGCTCACACCCATTTTCTTCTAGGGGGACTTTACTCACTCATCATTGACTTTTAGTGTACTGGTATTGCACATCTCGTCCCAACAGCGTGGGTATCCGTAGTATCCCCATCTCCCACTAGGTCGAAGATTTGTCACTTCTGATAAAGTCTTCCCTACTATTGACCTGAAATTGAGACAAACAATAGATGATGCTGTCAATGAAAAGGCAAATTCATAAAAATGGTGGTGAATCTGATATCTATAACAGCATATGGTCCAATGTCATGTTAGAGAAGGAAAAATACTTTTTTGCTTGAAAATTCTTAACAGTAATTAACAGAAGAACATGTTAACGGGAGTGGTGTAGTTGGAGGTGGGGGATAGGCTGGCAGTTCCGCTAATCTGCAATAATTTCTTGTAACGCCTGGTTTTTCTCTAATAATGTTTCTTATTGAGTGAAAATGCCATTTTTCTTTTTTGATCTGCTTGAGCATTAAAGTCAAGCCCAGAGACCAAATGAATAACCAAGCATGGTTTGTTGGTTGGAGCACCATGAGTTTGTTATCAATTTTTCAAGTGAAAATGGGTTACAGTAAAATGCTCTCACTACTACTGAAGTTTCTATTATATCATTATTGGTGGTCTTATTATTCCAGTACATTATTCATAGGAGGGAAAACGATTTTTAAAAATGGGAATGAAGAACTTTCTTGTTAATCTCAAGTTTTCGTTCTTCTATTAGACCAATACTTTTATGTGGATCCCACAGTATAAAGTATAACACATACCTAGCTGCTTCTTCAAATTCCTTGGTAGCTTCAGCGAGAAGCTGGGAAGAATTGAACAAAGGAAATCGTTGTTTAGCCAACTCCAAAGATTTCTGCTGATATATTCTTAGTTTGCTCCAGTTGAGGCGATAAAGAGGCCTCCAGTGTTCAAAGTCAATAACCCCAAGGCCAGAAAATGTTGCATCAGGGATGACAGTCTTTATGTCATTTTCCACTTTGGTGAAATGTGCTGTTTCATTAGTAAGCTGAGGACAAAGGAGAAGAAGCTTCAGTAGTGAGAAAAGAACTAACCATCTCAGGTGATCCACAATGTGCTTTGGTACAGCTCAAAGTGCATGAAACCTCAAAGGCACATACACCATAAAGAATTTCTCGAGCTTTTGACTTGAATTGAATCGGAATAGACTAGACCATTTTCCAGTTATATAGCCCACACAGACTACACATATATCTGTCTTGGAAACAGACAAACCAGTCACATTAAAAGGAGTACATGACAGTCATTACATCATATAATATGTGTAGCCTCCATACTCAGTATCTACATGTATTTAGTAAGGTCTACTACAACTACATTTTATACATTCATCTAAACAATGATTGGTAAATAAAGGATATGCCAGTTGAACATTAAGAAATGTTATAGTTATCTTTATGATTAACATGCCTTCTGGCACTTAGCTCATACAGTCATTGTACTTGGAAAATGTTCAAGTTTCTGTTACATGAGAAAGAACAAATGACAAGAGAACACCACCTGTATGAAGTATGCTGTTACAAGTTTCATTACCAAATTGAGACTTACAATATATGTATTCTATAAATTATCGTAACAAGGCAAAGGGGTCTGACTCAGCCAAGACCAGAAAAGTGACTTTTTTAAAGTCTGGTACACTACTCCAGCATAATAAAGAAAGTGAACATGGATTGGAATCCTCAGGGTAGGAGGGCCACATGGAACTAGGAGAAAAGTCATAAGAACGGTTTTGAAAAGTTGGAAGACATGGAATAAAATAACAAGAGGATAGGAAAACCTGGAAAGTGTTTGTTTGTGGCCTATATTCTGATCCACGATGAAAAAGAATATATGATGGGAGACTAACTTCTCAGCTATTGATGTTATTCTTCATCTCCAAAACCAGGTAAAATTCAGATCCTATGACCTCTGTGGTCTAGACTTCCTGAAGAATAGTGTTCTGTGAATAATTGGGGGCTTTTATTTTGCCTCTTACCTGTGGGATTCCTCCATTGACAGCATTGGTACCTGAGTAGTAAGGCCATAGTCCTAAGCGATAAAAAATGGAAATTTGTTCTCCTGTAAACCGGTCCTTGCTATTGTCAACAATTCCCCAGTTTTCAAAGCCGAGGTGAACACCATGATTCTCACAGCCAAAGGATGGGTGGTTCCATACTACAAAAAAAGGTTTGTCTGGAAGAATCAAAGGAGCTGTGCAACCCTCAGCACTTGCACCCAAAAAGAAGAAAAAGGAAAAGAAACAGAAAGCAAGGCAGAGCATGCCAACTGTTTGAACTTGAAGTTGAAGCATTGTCCAGCTAAGAGGTAGATCTTATCTGTAAAGAAAAGAAAAATCGTCAATTACTGCATCAATGACTTTGCTGTTCCGTTATCAAACATATTCAGAACAATGACTGCTAAAAATAATATGATTAATAGCAAAAAAATCCAAACAAAACAAAACAACCTAAAATGTTGAATAAAACCTTTTTGAAGTACCAGTAGTTGCATTATGAGCTTAAAAAATATTTTGTCAAAATTCAAATTCTAAATGGTGATAAAAGCGAGGAAAGTTCTATAAAATAGGTACATCATGAAAGTTTTTTTTCCTCTCGTTCTGAAAAATTTCTATTTAAGGGCTTCGAACCTTTTAACAGCTTGCCGATAAGTTGTAATTTGGAACCCACGGCACACCAGCAGTGAAATTTTAGTAGCAGCAGGGGGTTCTCCGCTGAGTGCCTTATCACGTCCGGGTCATGAGGGTCAATTCCCTGTCGCCACTCTGGCTGGGCTGACTTAATTTTTGGTACTTTTCAACTTCAAGTTTTTGATGTATTCTTTTACATGGGGGAAATTTATCATTTAGATGCACTCAAAGCACGCATTTCTGCTCTTGAGACTAAAAAAACCCAATGAATATTGTAACTTGTCTGCTTATTTCGTTAGACGTGCTGTAGTCGAATATACACTAAATTATGAAGTTTTTTGGACAAATGTGAATCACAAAAAAATCAACATTAAAAAAACCCGGCTTGACAAAAATTGCCAAACTTTTTTAACATGAACGACATAACATAGATAGAGATACTCACAAAAGATCGTATCTGCGCAGACGATAGAATGCGGCACACAATTCACTATGAAGTAATTCATTCACGTACAACTTTTTGCGCCTAATACAATCGTGAATATCCGCATACTTCACGAAAGTTTATAAAATTTACGCTGTGATCAATGTAGGCAGAAGTACAAATCGATTTTAGTGCTAGAATAAATCTGCAACACAAATAAACAGTATCTGTTACACTCCAGAAATTTCTTCAAATGTTAAGTCTCTTAATGTTCTTTTAAGTTGACTGAAGAACAGGGGTAACTTAACTTATAGTAAATGAGTTTTCAAAATAATTTCTAACTTGCCAATGACACTGAATAAACACTAGACTTTTTCCGCTTTTATTTCTGTTTCTATGACCATTTGAAAAGACTGATAACGTTCTGATTTCTTTACATTGTCTTATGAGTCTGCAGTCTCATTTCTGACAGAACAAAAGTACTAAGAATGAATCATGTATTAGCTGTCATAGTTTTTATTCCATTCAAGAAGTTGATCTCTACTCATGTATTTACAGTTATGTGTTTTTAAAGAATCGTATATCTTTCTTTAAAGTTGTATGCAGGTTGCCAGAGACTCGGCATAATTCATGAACAAACACAGAGAGTACCTTTCTCTTTCGTGTAATTCATGGTAAAGAAAGCCATCGCTGAGTGAATTTGTCAAAAATGTGCATTTCCTTCCCCTATAACTGGACTGTTACTTACTACTTGTGCAGATTTAATATTTCTCAAGGTAAAAGGCATGCTATTTATTGTGAGTTTAACATAGATTTTGGCAAGAAGAGTGTCGAATTTAAAAAAACAATTGTTTAAAATTCATAAAAGTATGTCATTAAAAATAGGACAAATTGGGTACTCTACAAACACTTGTATAAAACAAAAACTAAGGCACAGAAAATAACCATTCTAACGCAGAATTAATTTTAAGGTATTGATCCGAGCTCTTAACTATTACATCAGTGTAATGGTTTGCTGTGTTGGAATGGGGAAGAAGTTATAATATTGTTTCAAAAGCAGACAAAAGTGTAAACTTCATAATCGACATCGGCAAAGTTGCTTAAGGGCTAATTAACTCCATGACCCCAAGCTGGGGACCTCCGGCGGGCTGCTGAGTCACGCCAACTAAAAGTCACAGAATCGGGCAAAAAAGTGATGCTGTGAGCCCTAGGCTTTCTCAGTATCAGGCCCTGTATCTCGGACGATTGGCTCCGGCATTGGAGGCCGGGTATTTTACGCGCTTATCTTGATAAGCTCGCCTCGGGGCCGGTCCTTATCTTATCAAGGTTCAATGCGAAAAGCGGCGATAGGCGGATGCTCTAATACTAATAAGTAATATGTATACAGGAGATGGAACATTCTTGCATTATGCTTTTTCGTATAATGTGTAGCTGTCTAGTCTATCTAATCTCCTAGCCTCTTACGATTGTTTCATTCAGTGTTCTTGGACGTACATTTCTTTTCGTTTGGAAGCATTTTTACTACATTCAATTCTAAGGATTAAATTTGTGCTTATACGATGTGTTTTAGTGATCAGCCCAGATTCTAGTTTTCTTTCATCTTGAAAGTTATTGTATCTGTGAAAAATTTTTCATCTGGAATATACTCCTCAGTTTCAACGCAATGAACCATGTGAGGCAACATTTGAACATGGGAAGAAAGTGTAGCGTAAGGGGCTGTAGAAGTGGTTATGTCAGCCAAACGGGAGATGGCAAAATAACAATATATAGATTTTCAAAAGATTCAGAAAAAAAAGCCCACAGCACAGTGGGTCAAAAGTATGTCCCAAACAAATTAATCGTAGAAGATGTCACCGATTTTATGAGTTTGCTTTCTGCACTTCCCACCTGATGTACCTTTGGCACGGGATGGAAGATTTAAGGAGCCTCTATCAAGGTTTCCAAAAGTACCACCATCATGTTGTGGCATACTAACTCCAAAAAAGAAAGCAACTACAAAAAATTCAGCTTCTACTAAAACTGTTGATATTGATGAAATGAACATTTTCAAAGAAAGACATGCCTTCAAGTTCGATTCATTTGATCAAACAATGGAAATGAAGCAGACAGCCATTGGCAATATTGCAAAGAGCAAAGATTACAATAACGTACATAAATTTGTCTTGCTCAGTAGAACTCGAGATGGCCCAGTTTTTGCATTTTCCATGTATTTTACGGTTGTTTATTATACCCATGACCATGAGAAAGAGGTTTCATATGAAGCTTATCACAAACTGAGGCGTATCAGGCATCCGGGCTTCACTAGAGATGTTGTCACATACTGGAGTCAGTCAGATTAAATTTTACACTACCAAAGAGTACGCTGATGCGGTTGGCAAAATATTAATGAAAAGATTTGCTGAGCAAAGTGCTTCGCAGAATGAAGGACAGGCAAAGAAAAAAAATTGCAAAGCTGTCATCCCGATCATGCAAACAGTAATTTTTTCAGAGGTAAGGGACGGCTCTTTTTATCAATAGTAATAGGTACAGAATCTAGACTCGAGGCTCAGGTCATATCTTGGGTTTTTTTTCAAAAATATAACAGCAGAATAAAAAACTAGGCCAAGGAAGAGGAGAAAATCACAAAGGATCAACAAGTATTGTCTCATTACTCAAATATGATCTTGCTCCAACTCACATGATCCTCAACATGATGGTATTTCTGGCTGAATTGAAATTTCAAAAATAAATCAGAAAAATGATAAGACTTATTAGAATCTACTCATGACACTAGATCAAGATCTACACCTATACACGATAGCCGATAGTCAATGGAAGTGGCTATTCTCACCCAGGGTGAGAATAAAAATGCGATCGACCTCTCACCCTGGGTGAGACTTGCCAGCGTTGTTATTCTCACCCGGTGTGAACAAAACCTGTTTTACCTAATTTCGGAATACTTTCTATCGGTGATCTTTTTCTCTCCCCCCCTCTCTCTCTCACTGCCCGCATACAAAATTGGGGATGACTTCCGTAACGAGCGACCACTATGAGACAGAGCAAAATTGAGGGCAAGGGGTAGGGGTAGAACTAAGGGTAGGGGTTAGGCTTCTTCTTTAAATTGTGTTTGATGGGTGGTTGCTTGTTAAGGAAGTCCTTCCCACAATTACACGCTTTCAACACAAGAGTGCTGGAACGTTTGTTTACGGTACATGTATCACGGTGAATGCACACCGGGTGAGAATAGCCAAAAGGCTCGCCCTTTCACTGTGGGTGAGAGACCCACCTACACAACTAACTGCGCTCTATAGAATAGAGGTGGCCATATATAGCCATAGATCTAGTCAATAGTATAGTCAGTGCTATTTTAGTCCTAATTATTAAACCCTAAGTAAGCTTGTACATTATTCAGTCTGTTCTTGGCCTGGTTTTGCATGCTTTCATTATCGTCTTTTTCGAGGCGGGGTCACCTACAACCGATAACATAGGATTATGATTGACAATGAGCAGCCATTACTCAGGCTGAATTCGTATGAATGGCTCCTTCGTAACCATATCCACTCCCGCCGATTGAGTTTACTAATGGACCTACAGCGGACTTGATATCATGTCATAATAACAAAATACCGCTCTTCAAATACCTTTCAGATGCCATTCATGTTTCAAACTTGCATTCTGAGAAAGCCGGAAGGTGCATTCTAACGAGCCCTTTCATAGGATTCACAATAATGACAAATATCTGAGGTGTGAGAGCACACACTGAAGTGTTTTGAGACGACGCCCCTAACTTCTAGTCATGTGACTTCGTTACTATAAATAACTTTTGAAGAGGGAGATAATCTTTCTAAAGAAGGGGAAGGGAAACAAACGTGTTAAGCTTATACCCAAAGAGGTTGTGCATATTTCTTTGCTTTTTTCCGCCTCGGGAGACACGCACTAACTGTCAGCTACTCTTCGAAAAAAGTTAAGGAACACCGTTAAATATGTATGCATTTTTCATGTGATGTTTATAAATTTATGTTGTTACCCTGAAGGCTATCTCGCTTACTAGTAGACCTAATTTTACCAAATTTCACACACATATAACAAGCATAGTAAGACGTTTTATAATCCGCTATTAATTTGAGGAAAGAGTTTCTGTTTCCGTGGATTCGGCGGTCATATTGGATTTTGTTGACATGACGTAATGAATATCGCACTTAATTATTGCTCATGGGAAATTGGTTGTTTTGTTCTTGTTGTTGTTGTTTGTTTGTTTTGCATGCATGTTAAAACAAACATTAGTAGATCTAACAATTTATCTGCTGTTTTGTTCCTAAACGAATTAGAATCTAGAAAATTTCTTATAATTTTTTTTCCTGAGGTAGATCTAGTATTCAAGTTTTCAAAAAAAAAAAAAAAAATCATTGAAAATTCACACTCCAGATACCACCTAAAAAATCTATTCGATATATCAAATATTCAACAGACATATTTTTTGTATTACATGTTTTCTTCATTCTGTGAAAATTTCTTGAAGATTGGACGATAAACGGTGGGGTTATTTAAAAAAGTATAGAGAAAAAAATCGCGCTTTGAGAAAACGGCAGATAAAGACCAAATAAAATATTGACTTAATGAAGAAATGGAGGTGACAAACATTCCGGTATGGAAAGAAATACGATTTTGGAGGGTTCTTATTAAACGATGAAATATTTTAATTGTAGGAAAGGCTGAGGAAGCCAAAAAATGCCTACAATTTAAATTCCATAATTTTGGGCCGAATCAGGAATTTGGGGGTGTACCAAGCTTTGTAATCTAGCTTTGATTTTACCCACGCCTTGTACAACTCCTTTTTTTCTTTGACGGCCTCCTTTACTGTGTCATTCTACCAAGCTGTCTGCTTTTCCTGCCCTCTTCCGGTGTTATTTGTACAGAAGGCTTTACGGAGTGTCTCTGTCAGCGTGGTCTTGAATACTGACCATGTTTCTTCTGCTGTCATTTCTGAGCTGTCTACTTCTTTCAGCTTCTGTGTGACTTCTGTCTCCATTCCCTGTCGTACTTCTTCCTTATGTAGTTTTCTTAAGTTGATATGCCCGTTTGTTTCTTTCCTCTGCCTTTTCCTCGTTTTTTTCTCTCCGCTGCTTTGTAAACAAGATAACAGGACGGTGCTCAATGTCCAGGGCTGCTTTTGGGATGGCTCTCGCGTCCGTGACTCTTTCCCTTCCTTCTATTCGTGTCAAGAAGAAATCTATCTGTGATGATACTTTCAGATCGTTCCATCTGTACCAAGTTTGTTTCTGACTAGGTCTGTGTTGGTAAAAGGTGTTTGTGATCCACAGTCCGTATTCTGCACACAGTAGCCGTTCCCCGTTGTAGTTGCACTTTGTGTTAGTGTCACTGTGTGGGCCAAGGTACTGGTTCCAAGGTGTTCTTCTCTTACCCACTCTTCCATTGAAACCCCCCATGACAATAAGTTCTTCCTTGTCTGGGACTGTGCTTATGGTGTCTGCCATCTTCTCAAAGATTTCTTCTTTTTGTTCTTCGCTGTAGGAGTCATTGCAAAGTGCATAAGCTTGGATGAAGTTTGAGATCTTTAGTTGTCCCCTTACTTGGATTTTGATGATCCTCTCCGAGATAAACTCTGTTTCCAACACATTCTTTGCTGTACCCGGGTGTAGAATAAAACCTACACCATGTGTTGCCCTAGTTGTCCTGTCCCCACAACTCCAAATCAGGACGTAGTCCTCGTGGATCTGTTTGATTCCAGTTCCCTTCCGCCGGCAGTCTGAAATTCCCATCACCGGTATTCTCCATCTCTTCATGAAGTCAATAACTTCTGGTTCTTTGTCTTTGATTTCACAAACATTCCAAGTGCTCGTTCTTTCTCGTTGTCCTTTTCCGTTTCCTGGTCGTTTTCCGTTTTGGTTCGTCCGTTTCTTTCTCCTATGATTTTCTTTAGCGATAAATAATCTACCACCGGCTTGCTAGGCCTGTTGTGGTTTCACCAGAGCCCCGCTAGCTGGACGTTTCAGGGTGATCCGGGATGGTCTTCATGGCTACCGTAGCGGTCATGTGAGTAAAACCCACGCAATTTCTCTTCCAAACCCAGCAATCCCCTACTTTGTCCGTTTCCACCTCCTGCAACGACGGACGAGGGGTTGGACTTTTGGAGGCCAATGGCGAGTTCTCGAATACGTTGCTTGCTTTTTTTATCGTTGTCAAGTGCCAGATCTCGGACAGACATCGGCAATCATGGTTCTCCGCTCATTCCTTTGGGTGCTCTTGAAAAAAGCCTCGTTGCCCTGATTTTTTCCTTCACCCATCGGTTTAAGTTTTCCCGAGTAGCTTGTTTTGGGCTTACCCATGCCTCGTTTTCTTTCAATTTTTGCAAGTGAAAGCTAGATGTTCATGACTTTTAATTTTATGTCTATTCAGGGGTCCCAAAAATTGCATATTATTATTATTATTATTATTATTATTATTATTATTATTATTATTATTATTAATTATTATTATTATTATTATTATTATTATTATCATCATTATTATTATTATTATTGTTATTATTATTATTATTATTATTATTATTATTATTATTATTATAATATATTGTCTTTTCATGATTGTTTTTTTAGGGGCGCTCCACGTGGGCCTCTTCAAGTGGGACCTACTGGGCCCATCTCATTTGATTTCTTTTCCTTCCGAGATATTCTCAGCAGTCTCTAAAGAAACCGTATTTCTGTTGCTTCGATTTTATTTTCACGATACTTGTTCTTAAGTTGTAAAAATTTTTAAAAAAAATCCCATCTTAAGTGTATAGAAAACTTTTACCTGTTAAGTCATTATTATGCTGAGTGAACGTACACTAGGGCCATGCAAAGGCTATACTAAAGCCCTCGCAATGAGTCAAAAATTTAATGGCCAAACAGCATGATGATGAGAAAGTTGAATTCACACGAAAGAGGGAGGGCTATTGGTCGGCTCCAAGATGGTGTTTCCTTGAGGGAGGTGGCTCGTGTTGTCCAACAAACCAGAAGTACAGGTGAAAGCTGTCGGTCTGGGAGGCCCAGGTCAACCATTGCGAAGGAGGACTGATTCACCCAACATCATGCAGTTGCAACCCGAACAACAACTGCTAACATCATCTGGCAACGTCTCAGACCAGCTACTCACACAAATGTCAGCACTGTTACAAATCGTTGCGCACAATTTGATTTGCATTCTAGAAGTCCCGTCAGTAGACATCGGCTCATCCAAGGCCACCGAGAAGTACGCCGAGTGTAGAGTACGCAGCTTCAGAGTTGGACAGAGGCAGACATGGGTCATTTCCTTTTCACCGACTGGTGGAGATTCAAGTTGGAGGCGCGTGATGGCCGCATTCGAGTGTAGGAACTTCGTGAACAGCGTTTTCAAGACGACCGCATTGTGGAAACAGCCCGCTATGGGGAAGGTTCTGAGATGGTGTGGGCTGGGATAAGTCTTCACAATATGTCACTCCATGTTCAGGGCAATCTCAATGCCATTCGGTATCGTATTGAGATAGTACAGTCTCTAGTGGTCCCGCGGCTGCAGCTGATTGGTGCTGTCCGAGGCGAGCTGATCTCCTCTCTGTGCTGGCGCAATCTTCCAGGACAACAACGCCAGGCAACATATTACTCATGTTATCAACGATTTCATTGCTCAAAATGGATTTGACAGACTGCCTTCGCCTGCAAATAACCCTGATCTAAAGCCAATTGAACATGTAGGGGGCGAGCTAGGGCGCGTGTTCAGGAAAACTACCCTCCAGCAGGAACTCTTGACCAGCCCCTTCACAATATCCAGTAAGAGGGGAATGATACTTCAGAAGTGTTCTTGACTAACTTGGTTAGGTTTGTAAACAATTATAGGCGCGAGAGCGCTTAGCTAATAATAGAGGACGTACTTTGTTACTGAGCCTTGTTTTGGAAGCTTCATATGAGTGATTGACTGATTGATTGATTAGTTGGTTGATTGATTGATTGATTGGTTAATTTTCTTTCTTTCTTTCTTTATCTATTTAATATTTATTACACTGTATTTTTTAGGAAGGGAGGGGGGGGGGGGGTTACACATTTCCACCATAGGCCTATATATACTGTTGTTGGAGTTGATTTGTTTCAATGTTTTATGTTATCACATGTTTCTTTAGATATTAAACAACTATCTGTTTAAAGAAAACAGACTTATTTTTTGCATGTTGTGCTCTTGAAAAAATAATCATATAAATTTTATAAGTGTTCCTTAACTATTTTCGAGGAGTATACATCATCATAATGATACGATCTGATTCTGTCGATCTGCTATCCATCTTTCTCAAAGAGCTTCGCGTAATGACAAAAAAATCAGAGAAATCTAATTTCCAACCTCCCCAAACAAATAGGCCTTCTCTAGACTCCTCCTCCCCCACCCACCCCCACCTCAAAGAAAGACAGCCAGTGTCTCTCTTCTTTTGCCTTTCGAATCAAACTGACCCCCCCCCCCCCCCAAATCCAAATTATATCCAAATTATAATACGAACACTCGCACGCGCGCACTATGGAAAAGGGTGTCCACTTCGTTTGGAAAATGGGGTCCGTGTCAGAGAAAGACTAAGAGGTCTTACCTAAAAAACATCTAACGAGATTGCCAATGCTTTCATGTATCCACCTATGACTATTGTGAAATGAAAGTTCTTCCTTCTCCGACCCCAGCCTCAATGAAAAGGTCAAATTATGACTCTTGCAAGTTTGCCATTAAAATGGAAACCCTTGGCAGTTCCCATTGCATTTAAATTTCATCTTCAAAAGATCAAA